AGTGTACCAGGAACCCAGAGTGTACTTTATGTACAGACAGAATATTTTACCAGACACGCAGTTATTTTTTTGCTCCTTAACAAAGTCAAACGTTCTTGAATTTAGTGACTTTTACTTTTTAATAATTTTGATGTATTCATAAAGTTAAGTAGAGTATGTGGTCGGAGAATATGCTTGCTGTGTTGCCCCACCAAAGTCAAAATCTGAGCTGGCTATTTTGAAATCAAGAGTAAAATGGTGGTGATGAGTCTTGCTTTTGTTGTCATAGTGTTGTAAGACATCTTTCAAGTTTCGTAATACTTGCTGAATCACAGAAAACGTCCAAGTCTGCCAGCTCACTTAAATGTTATTTACTTTTGCAGAAGCGGAATCCGTTGAAGCACAGAAGGGACCACACAATGGCTAAGGAACAAAAAAGTCTTCTTGTCATGCACATTTACAGTGGTATGTGATTTTTGTTTCTTTTCACTGCGAGGAATGATGACAATAATAGTAATAATAATTACTGACTAACGAAACAATAACCCGCTATTGACATTAGTCGAGGTTCAGTTTCTGCGAACATTTCATTTTCCAAGCAAACAACAGCTCTAGAAGGAATAGCAAGAAAAAATGTAAGCTTCAAGACAAGTCAAGAAAAATTTGTATTGACTTAGTGACTTAGTAAGCTGAATCGTTGTTTAATAACAAATGAAAAATCATGCTGTATTCTCTGTGTTATTTTTCTTATAGAATTGTTTTGCCTTTCTGTGTTGTTTTAGGATGGAAACCAGCAAAAAGAAGCAAGATGCTAATGACAGTGAGCCGGATAATAACAAAACATTAAGACGGCGATTTTTATGTCCTAGTATATATTGAGAATCGTGTTTATTCGAGGTTTACAAGATATCATATTAGAAATGGTAGTCTATTCAAGTTTGCCAAAAACTAGGAATGAATTTTTTTTTAAAATTTATGTTAAAAATTAAGGACACATTTTTTAATGATTTTTCATGCCAAAAATCAATACTGCATTGGTTATTGCCTTTAGTAGGAATTTTAAAAAAATGTGTGAAAATAATGAGACATTTTGTCAATGATTTTTTATCCCGAAAAGTAGCACTTTCATGATGATTTCCTTAAACCGCCGGTAACGAACAAAAAGGCTTGTAAAACAATAGCGACAGTGTGAGCTGTTTCAAATACCGCTATTATTTTCACAGTAATATACTGCCATTGCGCCATATTTTTTGGTTAAACATTTTGCTGGTTAGATTGCATAGTATGAGAAATTTTATGTTAATTGGCACAAGTATGAATTGAAAATGAAAATGGAAGTTTTTATAAGGCACCCACATTGTGCGACATATTTACTCAAGTAAATCTGGAACGTACTACTTCCTGCTAGTCTAGATTAGTAAGAAATATTATACACAGTAGAATAGGATCGTTTTACTACAGTTATACTAGATGAACTCGAACTGAATATGACAAGGACTGTCTGTGCATGGTTTATTTTT